ACCAATACACAATGTCAGGTTGACCTATATGTGGTTTCCCTGGAAACCATCGTGATAAACTCATGGAGAATTTACCACGAAGGGCTAACTAACCTGACCTCATACTCATCTTATCATCCGCCACTGGTGCCCCGCTAGCGTAAACCGTTAGGGCAGGCGGATGCTCCATTCCATTGTCATCCATAAGAATATAGTTTTACGGTTACTACATCGCAAACTATTACAATTTCAGTTTGTATCTGTCTGCTAGACAGAACTTTAAAAGGATCATCTATTATTTGCGATCCTCCATTTTCAGCATCATCATCATCCGTGTTCGGTTAGCCTTATAATATTAATATTATAATAAATTAGGAAAGTATCCTTTCAAGTTTTCACGACTAAGGCATGTATGACATTGGTCCTAAATGGCCTATTAGGCCTCTTTTATGAATTCTTATCCGAGTAGTTACAATTATTTCAACACTACCGTATATAAAAATTATTATTACCTTGTAACTTAAATTATAACAGGCTATTAAACACGTCCATAGTATAAAACAGAGCCATCAAATTATGGTCTTATCTTGACATTCTCATCGTTACATTGACTGTGCTGAACTACTGTAACAAATTTCTATACAGTTAATGATGTGATTGATGTGTACTCCAATACTGACAGGAGATCAATATCTGCAAACCTTGACATAGTCATAAGAATCAACTTCGACGTGCCATTTCCATTAAATTTAAATATGAACCCTGTTGCTCAAGAATGCTTACGTAATAAACGGATGCTTATCAAATAACAAACTGGCTTCAATTTAGCTGCATAGGCTCATTTAGTTGATACTCTCAGAAATCTCCGATAACATTATACACTATTTCGATGTGATGGGTGTATATGTATACTTAGTAAGTTAATATTAATGTCAAGATTAGCCATTCGAACAGCGTACCGAGGGTCGGACTTATTCGTGGAAGTTTCTACAGCAAGTTTCGCAACACTAATACCACGTCAGCTCATCAATGACTTTATAGATAACTGGATTATACACATTAATTACTATGTGGTATAAAGTGAGTTTCATATTATTATTATCAGATTATGGTATTATCAAAATTATTATATATCAAAATTGTAATATGATGAGGACTGTGTGAATGGTAACTAAGACTTGTATGAGCGGCTATATTATGAAGTGCATTCATCGGATGCTGGAACTGGTTCCATTCTGTTAGACGATACGGTATTACTACTAGCATACTACTATTTACATATACTTTTGTATAAATATATAACGGCGCATTTATACCTACATAGATATATATCTATTACAATTCTTAGAAACAGTCACGATACTTTCAATACTCTACAATAAGTGATATTCCAGATGCATAAAAAATCTAAAACAACGATCAAAAATATAATACAAATAATTGTACAATGATTTACATATTTTAGTATAAATTTATTTAGAGACGAGTCTATTTGTAACGATAGGGTGTCCAATCTCTTGCATTGCATACATATGTCATGTCATAGTAATAATCTTTTTGTACATATTACTTTACGTTGTTTACGTTTTTCATTTAAGAGTTTTAATTTCAACTCATCTATAAGGAGCATTAATTAAAAGAACAAAAGTGTTTTCCTATACGCTGCTTAATAATTAGTTCCAACCAATAAAAAAGATATAGGATATAAAAATATCTAACGTTTTGTATCAAGGAAAAGTGCGAATTTTATTATAGTTATAGACACTTTTATGGTTGTAATTAACACGTCAAGGTGCAAGTAGACGGATGGTATAATGGACAAACACTTTTAGGTGTCTACTTCCCCGAAGCGCTTGGTGAAAGAGTGCGCAAGCCATTAATATTAATAACAAACACCGATTCAATAGCTAGCTGCAGACAGGTCACCGGCCTATTATACGATTGTTGGATGTTCATTTTCTAGATGTAATTAGAAATATGTAAAACTAAATAAGTCCAAGAATGGGAATCTGCTACATGAATAAAACATGAAGAAGATACGCCTGCCAACAAACAAAAACGAATGAACTATACAACCATCTACAAAGTGACCTAAAAGACGTAATCAATCATCAACATTTACGTACTAAACGAAACGTTACATCCATTTGTATTTACAATAAACATCGTTAACCTAAATGCAATCGTTAATTTTGGAACGAGTGAGACATCTTTAGCTGCACGTTAAAAATATTGAAATCGAAACTTATAAATGTCATTACCTGTATTTCAATAATCATTGCATAAAAAAGCAATACATTTTTCACGTTTGAATTATGTTAATTTTGTAATGTGGTTTAATATAAACTGGAAACGATGATTCACATTCGATGCATTTAAAGCGCTTAACATTTTTTAATGCTTTACTTTGGAGAAGGAAATGTAAATATAAAAAGATAACATTGCATCACAACTGTAGACCAATAGTAGCAAAAATTTGTTTTATTGTCGAAGATAACAGTGTCACCGATGGCCATAAATCGGAACTAAGTGACTGAATAGGTCACTGTCCTCTGCATTGGCTGTAAGTGATCGTCCTCACCAGACAATAAAGTCATTTAATTCTATTGTAAATACGACAACCGGATTCATATCACTAACGCATTTAAGTAATTTAAAAGCATCATTGAATAAATTAGGTTATATTATCGTTTAAAAATTTATTGAGCGTTAAGGTTACGTACTCTTTTTATCGACACAACTATGTATCTAGCGTTATATGCAGTAATTTGTATTAGAGTTTTATGTCAATTGTGTATCTAAAGAGATATAAATCTATCCTTTATCTTACGAAATATTCTTATCGTTCTCTAATATTTTCTATATCTGTTCATATTTGTCCAAGTTATCATGCCAACGTCATCGTAGCTTCCTGCCTCTCGGCGAAGACTATAGCTATGTTGAAAACATGTGGTAACTTGTTTGGTTCATTGTATTGGCTGTATTGTCTGAACATGACCCATTCTTTTTATTCCTACTTCAGACGGATTATTTTTTTAACTTGGAAAGAAGTTTTGTTAATTGAATTTTTTACTTTTGCAATTTTTTACTCAATTTAAGTATTATTAGGATTGAACAAGTACTGTAAATTAAGACGGTCTGGATGCATATCATATGCACAACTTAGTGTTTTAGCATTTAAAAATATATCTTGATTAGTCTCTTTACAAAAAGATCTTCAGTGTTTTTTAATTATATTGTTTTTATTATCTTTTCTTTTACACAAATACTATCTATCCAAAGTAGATACGATCATCAACATAAAGGTACAACCTTCAATCACAATTCTTCGATTGATGCAATTGGTGTCGGTCATGATTCAGATGAACATCAAGCTATACTAACTCTAATAACATTGTAGATCTGACGCTGGTGTGAAAAACAAAATGAAGTCATTCCCAAGATGAAGGTTGATAGGTGATTAAGTTTATCGTCGACTGAATCATTGACTGCCCACGTTTTAAATTTTGAAAAACTTCATAGACTTTGTTTCTGTTATAATTTTACTAGTTAAAGATCGCCTACCGATATTTTAACAAGATTACTCATTACACAACTACATATATAAGTAAACATCTTGATTACATGTTAATATTACCATTTAAATGAATTTATATAATCTATATCTGATTTCTAAAGAAATTTACACTGACTTTGCGGGCTACACAATTACGAGACTATTCTTTTTTAATTGCTTACGAAAGTACAATTTAAATTGGAATGCTCTGAATAGAAAAATAATCGAAAATTAATGCACAATTTCCAACACGTACACTCTCGCAGCAACATCGGATGTGTAAAAAGAAAGTATTGTTTTATGAGAAAGTGAAGTAAGTAACAAAAGTTATGATAAACCTCTTACTTTTAATGTGCTACTCAGTTTTGTTACTTATTTATTTTTAAGAATCTTAAATAGTTGAGTCATTCGGCGAAATAAATTCTGGGACTTTCGTTAACCACCAGTATTTTGGGTGATATTATCAATAGGGCCTAATTTTTCACATTCTTTTAATTTATAACAAACAGAATATCATTTTCAGAATAATGTACTAATAGATATTATAACTTAAGCATTATTAGCATATTTACATGCGGCAATGGCTTAAATGTTGCGAATTAAATAGATTGGCATCCCAAATAAACTTGGAATTATATTTTAGAAAACCACGTCCATGCCACATATTTTTTACTTTAAAACAAAAACAAAAGAGTTAATTAGTACACTTTTATATTCTGTAGATACCTTACCTAACGTGTATATGATGATAAATATATATGTACAAAATATTATAATATAACTTTACTAAGTAGATACTAACACATTGTTACAATTGAGCATTTTGATATGTATATACGTCTATAGAAAATACTTGAATTGTAAAACGCAGGATATCGTTTACGGACAACATTCATAAACCCTCTAAAAACAAATCAGATAATTATAATATTATTATAAATAATCACGTTAAAAACAATTAATGTTTTGTAATTTGTACAATAAGGCTGCATATAATAATACGAATACGGAAATTCCTATAATATACACTATACACCCCTACCGCCAGCTACACAAAGCTGGCAACCCCTCGAAAACTGTATGACTATTGTTGTCTCTTTCTTGCATTTCTATCCCATTTCACCCTCCGTTCATAGCATCGTGGGATAATTAAATATTTATGTCATCGAAGGCGGTGCCATCATAAAAACAGCCGAATTATATGCTCTATCATCCATTAAGAAAATATAAAGAAATCTTTATTCACAATGCCATTATATAAAAAAAACCACATGATAGACTTGTACTTTAACTTTATTATTTAAATTTGACTTTTAAGTTAAGACCGTTAAGGATGCACTTACTTTAGAGAGTGGTAACAATAAGAGATTGGATAGAATAAGTGAAAATAACCAAGTAATCAATATCTGAGGTTAGTTTATTTATGAATGAATAAATCAGATAAATAGCAATAATATTTTCATACCTTTAGAATATTTAAGATCCTAATATCTAAAACACATTCCGAAAATTAGGCACTGTCACGAACTTAGTTTGAATAAATGATACGAACACTACAGAAATCTTTATGTTCACTGTTCAGTTGTATTAGAATAATTGGACACAGATTCACAAGTTAGGTGTATTTACAGACAAGTAATATTGATATTATTATATAGTAGATTGCACATAATTGAGGAAAAGGTAGACAAAGCTCGAACACGAGCTTTTATTTAAATAAAAAAACGTATTAACCTCTCGACGAACGAGTGGAGACTGCATCAGAAAGCCGCTAACCGGGGAGCGGGGCGGGGGAACGCAGCAGGGGGCGCGCACGTCGTCGCTATAGAGGAGAGGCGTCGAACTAGCCTAGTGTCACTGTCGGTGATATGATAACAAACGTACACAAGCTGACTATACAACGATTTATTAGTGAAAAGATGAACGACCTTTCGATGTAAATTAAATGCGAAGAGCCAGTAATTTTCTTAGATAGCTAAATAGCTACAGTAAAAGGACCAAACGCTGGCTGATCTGTATAATAAATTCATTACTTGCTACTGACTTGTTATTGACAATAAAGCGCAGCTGAAACAGATGTGTATTGACAAAACGGACAACGAAAATAAACAATAAGAATAGAACGTTACCAGTGGTAATAAATCCTTGAACAATAATGAGGGTTCAATAAAACTTTGTTTTAAATACATTGGTTAGTTTAAAATAAAGTCGTTAAAACTAGAATTAGAGCTGGGAGTAATGGACATAGGTAGTTACTTAACTAATAATATAATTCTTTTGTTGTAATTTTACGTAAAAAAAATAATCAAAGGTGCCCTGCCTACAAATATTTTCACATGATAAACATTCCTACTACACATTTATCTTTTTATATAATAGAATAAGACTAACAATATTAGAAGACATTATCTCAAACTAAGTTACACAATTAGGTTTGTTAAGTGTGACAACAAAGAAATAAACTAGGTTAGACAAATATTATGTATTATGACAGTGATAGGGCATTAAAATGTAATTCACGTAGGTTCACTGTTACGAACAAAAACATTATTTGCAATAAAATATTAAATTTGTCAAGATCATCTCTTTACTCCAGTAAGACCGCACATTACACAATTATAGCTATAAACATATTACCACAGATAAGATAATATTACATACTATTACCACAGATAAGATACTATTCTATTACATAGGCAGTTCTTTTATTTTGTCAAATTTTCTATTGTCACACACTATGTGTCAAAACACAGAGTATTTCGTAATATAAATACCAAATATAACTGTTGTGAAAGCCATACCCGAAAAGAAAAAAAATATAACTGTAACTGGATTGAATTGACTAATGCCATCTCCATCGTCGTAGAAAAATAAAGTTATATAGGTACTTAAGTAAAAAGTATATTAATAATAGTAATGGCTGATATTTTTTTACCATATTTATTATATGGCCATTTGACACTAAGATAGCGTGAATGTGCAGTTGTAATTTCAAACTATCATAAAAAATAATATTTACCTACTCGGAAAATAGTATATTAATTTAACAATGTTGTGTACGTAATCTATTATCAAATGGGAAAAACAATGAAACCAAATAAGTTTATATAAATACCTACCTATTGCATTATAGTATTCAGTCAGTTTGGCACTATATACTACAATTACTATAATTATCACCGTGTGGTTCTTATTAGGTCTTAAAATATTGAATAAATGCAGTGCCCGCAGTTTCATGTATAATTCTGGTACATATGCTATATTACTGTAAAAGTTGATCAAAATCTGTTCAGTATTTTTTGCGTGAAAGAATACCTATCCATCCATGCTCACGCGTTTATAATATTAGTAATAGAAAGAATATATTCCCTTAATAAAGTTGTAATTAATGCAAGATCTAAATCAGTACTCAAAGGTATTAATGATTTACCATTGTTAATTGTGTGTCATTAGATGCATATTGCAAGTTCCACTTGTCTCCAATTGTATTGTAGGATAATGTAGAATCTAATCATTTTTAATACCTTCTAACAATTACTTAAATTAATCAGTATTAGCTCTACATCTCTTTTAGATGACAGTTTTATTGGCTACTCCGTAATCAACTTCAATTAATACTAATCTAAGTTTCGGAAAAAATCTAAGTTTTATGAGAATAATAATTATCTTCTCATCATTTTATTGGTTTCATAGAAGATTTATTTTCATTCAGAGACGTAACTACATACATATACATGTAAAATCAACATCCAGATAAAAGAATTTTAGAATCATCATATTTTTTCTCTAATATACATAATTTGGGAATCAGGTACATATAAAATCAACATCCAGAAAAAAAAACATTTTAGAATCATCATCATCTTTCTCTAATCTACATCATTTGGGAATCAGATACATGTAAAATCAACATCCAGAAAAAAAATAATTTTAGATTAGGTAATCATCATCTTTCTATAATCTACATCATTTGGGAATCAGGTACATGTAAAATCAACATCCAGAAAAAAGATCATTTTAGAATCATCATCATCTTTCTCTAATCTACATCATTTGCGAATCTGCGTTATTCTCTTTCAAACATCTCCGTCACAATACAACAGTCATCTCTGTACTAACTCCATTTCTTGCCATATCATCTTTCAAGCAGTCCATCCATTTGTATTACTTTCTAAATAACCCACGACAATTACAATGACATAACATGTTAGTAATAAACCTTATAAGAGTCGGGCTATCAATCCAGGTCCGTTACATTATGTGAATTCCGTTCCAATGAACTCTCGCTGACTCATATGGTGCATCATAAAATTAGCTGCTCATTTGCCTGACAAATCGCACCTTATGTTAAACTTCATTTTTTTACCGTTTCGAAAAAGATCGGTTTTTAAATTGGACGTTATTTTCCGTTTAGTTTTGAGTATTATGTAAATTCTTTGCAAAACAGAAAGGATTTATAGGAGTTTATTGCAATTGATGTTCCTACTCTGATTAGTAGTAGTAAGTATAAGTAGTCGATACTTATAAGGTACAATATAAAGCATGTTATAATTTTATAAATTAACTGAAGACTTGTATAATTTGATTTCCATACGAAAATCTCAGGGCTTTGATATAGAAAGTATACAACATTTTAAATCTCTTGAAAACCCTGAGATTTACAATCTAAGGATATTTATAAATATACGAAAAATATGGTAAATCTAGTTTAAGTATGACAATGCTATATAAGAACAGAACAAAATTCCTGAGGTGTGACTCCATACTAATGATGAAAAACGTAATTGTTCTTTTTGCTTAAAGAAATTCATATAGGTATAATAACAATTAGCAAACAAGTATTGAAAATTTTGTCAACTTATTATGTTCAATTACGGGCTACCCACTCAGACTACGAATTCGAAGTCTGGACACAGAGTGTTCAGAGAAAGGCATCTAGACTCGATCGATTTACTGCTTGATGATGCGTAGTTTAGACGCGGAACACGTGTGGTGCAACGTTTAAGCAGAGTAAACCTATGTACTAACGACGGAATATTGGAGAACTTTAAAATTATCGGTTAGGCATGTATAAATATTTAATTCGTTGTGATGTCTTTACTACTAAATCGTAGTCAGATGCATTTGGACTACTTACTACTCAAAATGCTTGTGTCCCTTTTTTAATTCTCTTTTTTTTTTATCTTTGTACATAAAATGTGACCATGATAATCCCATTGTATCTATACTAAATAAGAGAAATTATAAAATAAACTTAAACTAATGTGATACCAGCCAGAACAATAACTTGGCTGCAACGGAAACTGGCCATCTATTTCAATATTATTGATTATTATTTTAATATGGAGGCATATAGTATTTGCATGTCAAGTCAAATACACAAGAATGAAAATTATACTTTTGATAGTAATAACAGAAAATAATGTCGTAAATATAATACATATTATAAATAATATTTACATAACCTAATTGTACAACTAAGAACTTAAAATTAAAATTAAAATTAAAAAGCTTAAAAAAAATATAATATGATGACTAAAATATATTAGTAAAAGGGACCCCTTTTACTGAATTAATGAATTCGCATTAGAGTACGCGTTTACAGGATAACGTGATGCGGGCGTTATATGATAATGTAATGTCCGTGTTGCTGTTCATGTATACATATAAGCAATAGTGACTACTAACCATCCAGGTGAAACGTAAACATATGTAACATTCCAAATTAAAAAAGATAAATTTAATGTAATGTAATATTAATCGTGGCTTAATTACATTGATAATTGCCTTAATATAACGACGACGTTGTAGTAATCTCAATTTGTTGCTTGATTAGCCTGCTAATTTACGCTAGAAACACCTCCCAATCTCTCTAAGTTGAATAATATACATAGTATATAATATATCGGTTATCTGGAATTTTAAAGGGTAAAAGATTTTTTCAAACAGATGCAGTTGATTTGCAGTTTACCAACAATAATACTAAAATGTGTATCATGCGAGGAATCGAATCCGGGGCCATCGGAAGTATGGTGGTGGGCTAGACCACCGAGGCCGTTAGGACCATGTTTTTATTCCGTTATTTGGAAGAAGACATCTCTTTCCACCGATTCTTTTCTTCAGATTATCAGCTTACACTTTGATACATGCGATTTTTCATGCGAAAAATCGTACTACTGTTTGTTTATTTTCTTTTCTTCTGTCGTCCTTTCAGCGACATTATAATCATGTATACGATACAGAGGTACCAAGAGATTGTATTTATTGGCAAAATTAACTAACTGTTGATATTATATCCATTAAAATATCACTGAATAATATTTACTTTAATTTTAGCAAGGCAACACAGCTGTAAACTAAACGGTAATAAATTATTTGGAAGTTCTCGTGTCTATAGAGCACGTTGCAATGACACGTTTTGTTCTAACACAAGTTAAATATAAACGCCTGCTTAACAGTGAAGAGGAAATCCAGCTGGTAATTTCTCAAGCCGTAACAATTTGTTGTATTATTAGCAGCTAGCTACATACAATTTAATTACATTATAGTTCGCACGTGTGCAAAATAAATAAATCTCAAGGAATAAATAACATATATTCTTTATTCAAACAATAACATACTTACACAATTATTTATTTAATGTTTACCTACGTATAAATTAGTTAGGTAGGTATTTATATAGCTTAGATAATAAGATATTAATAATAGTCAATAAGCACTATACATTCTTAATCAAAATAAAAAAGGCCCTATATATATTTAATGACTGCGCTAAGAGTTTACAG